GGGAATACTAGAAAACCTTATTAGTAATAGAGGTACTATCTTTATATTAAAATTCTAAAGCTATTTCTACTACCTCCTCACTATAAGATATAGACTATTAATAGCCTATTATCTATAAACTAATAGGTAGATAGAGAGATAAAATTAAAGTATTAAGTATTACTTATATAATATAGTAAGCTAATACTAAGATAACTAGATAAAATAGATCTCTTTTATATAGATTATCTATAATATTACTATCTATAGTATACTAAAAATACCCTTAGCTAAAGTATTACTAGGATTCTAACCGGAACTAAGAACGTTAGTACTAGATAAGAAGATAGAAACCTATAATAACGCTAAAAGCTATATAGAGGAAATACTAAAAATACGAGAAATACTAAGAAAGCGCCTAGAAAAGTCGAAAACTATAATAAAGCGAGCCTACGATAGGAAATATATAGAGAAGTCGTTTATAATTAGATAATAGGTTATACTAAGAAATAAATATATTAACTTAGGATAACTATATAAAAAGCTAGATAACCGCTATATAGGACCCTTTATAATAGTAGGTATAGTAGGATAATAGGTATACTAGCTAATCCTTACGCTAAGATACCGTAAGATCTATCCTATATAATATACTTTAATACTAGAGCTATACTACGGAGATCCGCTAAAAGCTTAAAAGCGGCTTAATCTTATATTAGTAGATAATTAACCTAAATAGGAGATTAAGGAGATCCTTACTAATAACTATAAGGGCGCTAAATACCTTATTAAATAGAGAGGATACGGATATAAGAAAAATATATAGGAGCTAAAAGAAAATATAGAAGATATACTAGTATTCGAGAGCTACTATAATAAGAAGAAGGAATAGCTAAAGTATATAATACGCTAAGAAAGATCTATAAAGAAGAAGTTAATATAATCTAGGATCTACCGCTAGATATATTCCGGGAAGATTAGAAGGACCGGAGTAGGCTTAAGAACGCCGAACTTAATAGCTAACTACTAAACGGACCCCTAAAAAATAACTAGCTACGCTAGTATACGCTATAGATAGGTTAAGGGAGGATCTAGAATATTAGTAAAGATAAGGAGCGGACGAAAAATATCCTAAAGAGACTATAGACGTATAATAAGGATACGTAGGAGTTTATCGCTAAAAAATAGGATAAAAAGTAATATAGGTAATATAGCTAATACTCTCTAAAGATATAACGTAATAACTACCTATACTAAATAAATAACCTCTAAGATATACTTATATTCTTACCGCTATATATATAACTTAGCCTAAGAAGGCGCCCGAAGCTAATCTATAACCCGACTTATTAATAAAACCTACGTTAAAAGGGGCGGAGGGGGTAGAGGAGGTAAAGGGGGTATAATATAAGGAGGACCGAAAGATATAACTATACCTATATAGATATCTCGAGTTAAAGTATTCTATATACCTCGAAACCCCTATATAATTATAAGGAACGATATATTCTACGTAGGGGTAGTATAGGGCGCTAAGATATAAGTATTAGCTTAAGTATTAAGTCTAGAATTAACCTAAGGAACGTTAATAACCGCTAATATAAGCGGAGGTCTATACTTACTATTATATAAGACTACCGCTTCCTCGTATAATAGTTATACCGAAGAGTATTAACGTTAATCCCGCTAAGCGGAAGGATATATATATACCCTAAGTTATATCTAAGACGGTCTATATAACGCCGATACTACGTACTCGTAGGGTTAGTAGGGGAGATAATAGCCGAAAGGGTATAATTATTAATAGAGATATACGTTATACTCGCGATCGGAGGAAAGGGAGCTACTATAATAAGTCGAAATAACCTATAGTAAGAAAAGCGAGACGACGAAAAGCTATAAGAAGAAAAGCGAAGCGACGAAAAGCTATAAGAAGAAAAAGCGAAAGGACGAGGAAGTATAGAAAGAAGAAAGCTATAACTCGAAGAGAGATAAGGGAAAAATATATAAAGAACTTAGATTATACGCGACGAAGAGAGATAACGCTTAAAGCTCCGAGTCTATCTATACCTTCTACTATAAAGATAAATTACCCTCTTTTAGATAGCTAGATATATATACTATTTTCGAACCCTCCCTATCTCGACTATAAGAGACCCTCGACCCCCGACCCTTAGCTATGAGGACGTAGCTCTTTAAGGAGGGGGAAAATATTACAACCCTCTACTAGGAGAGTGCCTTATAGGCTAGATCCCGCCTAGTCCTATAATCTAGAACCCGTGACTTAGTAGGGGTAGTATAACCCCCCGCTAGAGACCGTACTAAGGAGACTAAGTCCTACCGGGTTAGGTAACCTAGTCCTATGACCCGCTAAAGATTATCTATATAGAGACTACTAGGGGAACTTAGCTCTTTAGCGATTAGTTTATAAATATACTAGCACCCTACTATTCCTTCACTCTAGTTCTATATTATCTACTAGGACCCGCTAGCACGCCGGTCCTAACACTAATTAAATTAATAACTAGGAGTATAGATTTAATATAGTAATAATAAATAAAAGTATTAATAATTAAAAGTAAAATACGTTTACTAAATATAACTAGTTACTACTAGTTATACCTAGTAGTTCTCCTTATCTTATCTCGTTATACCTACTATTAACCTATTACTACCCTACCTAATATATTAGATTAGTATAGGAAGTAATATAAATAATATATACTAATTATATTAATAACTAATAAAGTAGATTTAATAAAAAGATAATAAAAATAGTATTATTAAGATAGATTTAGGGTAGGGGAGGGAGTATACCGGAAGATATAGTGATATTAAAGAGAAAAGAAGAAGAAATTAGATTAGAAAGAAGAAATAAGAAGTTAATAGGAATTCCTAGTAAACCCCTATTAAAACTACCTATATAAGGTTTAAATTATATTATCTTAATCTTAATATATTCTTCTTCTTTAAGATATTATAAGAAAGGTAGTATTAAGCTAATCTTTCTAGGAAGTATATAAGCCTAACTTCTACTAGTAATTACTAGTAACTTTAAGAGTAAGTCACTAATTCTTAGTAATTTATAGTAGTAACTAGATATTACTAAGCCCTACTATTAGTAAATTAGGACCTTTTTACTATTTCTTAATATATTATCTTAACTATCACTAGGTTATAATACGTTTAATTAAGCTCTATTTTATATATATTTTAAGATCCTAGAACTATTCCCTTCTAGTCTCTTCTAGTTACCTATAGATATATTCCTATAAAGTATACTAATATAATATAAGGTAATAAAATACTAGAATTTAATAGTTACTAGTTATATCTAAGAGAAATTAGTAAAATCCTTATAATCTATAGTAATTATACTTTAAAAGTATCTTTACTATAAAATATACGTTTTACTAGGTCACTAGGTTAGATTTCTAAGCACCTCCTATAGTCGTTACTAGTAACTTTTAGTGTAATAGTGATGACTAGTAACTTATGGTTCGAATATTTTTATAAAGCTTAGGTATGACCTAGTGACCTGGTGACCTAGTCAGTATATCTATATAATTTATTGGTAATTTAACCCTCTTAGGTAACCCCTATAAGCTACTATTTATTACTAGTAAATACTTACTAGTTTTTACCACGACCTGGTGACCTGGTGACCTAGTGAGCCCCCTATTCCTAAGTATCTTGCTGTTCTAGTTTTATTGTGTGTAGGTTATGATACCAAATTCTACAATGAGATGCCCTTGTTTGAGGACGCTGATTGTTCGAATTTCACAGAAGGATATCATACTTTGTTGTCTTTGTCGAAAGGTACAATAATTTCATTGTCTGAATTCGAGGTAATCATAGCACCATCTAGTCAGACACTAGGTAGACAGCTGGGTTAACACATATATATCTACAGAGAATAATGGTGTGCATCAAGCAGTGGGGTATTTAAATGTCTGTTAGTTTCCCCTCTAAGATAAATATAAACACACAGAAGGCATCATCCGCAACATACAACATACAACAATTACGCTTTCCATATTGGGACCAAAACCAAAAATGCAATATTTTAATGAATCTCCCTCTAGAACGATCTTTCTAGCAGATACCCTCATCATTCCAGAAGACTGTGAGTATAACCCAGAGGACGATATAATGTGGCTCACCGTCACCTTAGACGAGCAACACCGTGTTTATTCCGACTCGGAGTTGATGCATCTTATGATTCAAAGGCTTGAGATGGGCGTGTATGAAGTAGATGGCCAGCACCGTCAACAAACGATGGCATTGAATATCTCATTTCCCCTTATTTATGACACCGCCGTGGTGAGGACGTCAGTTCCCCACATAATCAAGCTACTTAGGGCTTACCAAGAGAATATTCTGGCTGGGCGAATGTGTATCGACCGGGAGTATCTTTTTCGATAGTGATGGTTCGAGTTGCTTGGTTGGTGCCTTTTAATTCCCGGTACCTTTCTACTACTTCCATTTCTAAATGTTTCAGTAGAAGATAGAACGTATCTCAGGCTGACTAACTAGGCTATCGTGAATCTATATGGGATTCCCAATAGATGTTGATCAGACTAGTACTAGGGTAGTATCAAGATAGACAGTTAATATCTCAAAGACTTATGTGTTCAAATCCAACATGCTTCAGAAAGCAACTAAGCAAGCCCCGAGATCCAAAATATCCCAGACCAAAACGTTTCACCTGTCAAAGGGGTCGCCTGAATTATGCTTCCCATGTGCGATTGCTGGAATCTACCGCCTTTTGTGCGAATGTGGATCAGCGCACCCAAGAATGGAAGCGGGCACTGTAATATAAACTGACAATATGAGGTTCTTGACCAATGATAATGATGGATTTGGATGATGATGATGGTAAGAGAGTATTGTACAGAAGTGGTAACACATAGATCCTCCACACACCGCCTTCCAGACCCGGCACAGCACACGACAAAGGGTGAACCAAGCGGCTAAAAAAAGCTAAATCCGAGCAAAATATTTAACGAATCCCTCTTTTGTCACTCCATCGCCTGGGATGCCACCATGTTATCAGTGAAAAGTCCCAAAAAGTAACGGAAGTTCTTGTATTCCTCAAATGAAGTAAAACAGAGACTTCCAGAAAAGAGCTCAAGGCTCCGTGTCATCAAGTTGTCAAGACTAGGTGTCCTCACACCGACTCCAAAGATATCCAGATGTTGAAACGAGCGCATGGGTGTAGTCATACGCGGCGCGTAGATTTTGAGCCTGGCATTCTTGGGTAGGCGAACATCGCCCAGGAGGTTGCTGGCCTCATATTAGCTAATGATGAGGCCGTTACTGCGGAAGCTTGTCAGTATCCGATTTACCGACTCGCAGAACTCATCCGTCAGATCATTCTGAGACATGTGCACGGTCTGATTGAAGCAAAGTGAAATAAAACCTATGCCCTAGCTCATTTGGATAATTTGCCTTCCCAGCTGGCTGACGTGGTCTCCAACTCCTGAATGCCAATTTAACGGCTTTGGATTGGGAATCTGCGGGCAAGTTGCCGAAGCAACCAGGATATTCTATATCCCCATGAAATTCGTGGCGGCGAGGCTTATACATGGGAGGTCGATGGACTTGCTGCTCTCTCTGAACTTGATATGCAAACTCTCTTTCCTGTTCCTCATGAAGATACGAGGAAGTCACAATTTGGCTTGTACTAGACTGCAACTTTTTCAACAATCCTTGCTCATTTTCATCGCATGTATCCCATTGAGAGGACATGTAGGCTCCTGGATCTGTCTTGTCATTGTCCCAACATGAGTATTGTTGGAATAGTGTCAGGGCATAAGTCTTCTGCATAGAAGTAATCGTGTCCCGAGAGGATCGGTTTCTCCCATAATCGAGTCCCAACGACGGGCTTTTCTGTAATAATGAACCCCCTGGGTTGCCCAAAGAAGCCGTAGACTTTCCAGAGTCTGACATGTTCGGAGCATGAACCACTCAAGTCATCTGCCGAGGTGAAAGCTCTTTCAGATGATGTTCCCAACAAGGATCTCATGTTATGACTCACCTCTGGACGCACCAGAAAGAGAATGGATGGCCGCTTTTCAAGACCGCGCAGTCAACTGCAAGCAGAAACTATTGGTACTACTTTGAAACGTTTCTGATAGGTGGCAGTTACCTTGTACCAGTTCATCCTTGGCCAGTATCGGCCCCAGAGTTCCCGTGGCCCGCGTTGTAGGAGGCATCTGGTTCTCCAGTTGGGCTACGTCTTCCTCGGCCTGCTGTGGGAGCTGTGGAGGTAAGAAATGTGATGAAATCTGAACGAGAACAGCTCTTGAGCGATAGCCATGGCTTCGTTAGGTATCGGCAGATTCTAAGCCCGTAGTTCGGTAGAATGGAAGACGGGAGGAAATTCTTGCGAAAGAAGAAAGACGCAATAGGTTGAGCTGGTGATTTGATGGAGCGAGATGGAGAGAGATGAATAGAAGTCCAAATACAATGTCTCGGAGTTTATTGATTTGTATAGCACGCAGGGTCAACAAGCAGGCCGTCGCAATGTTGGTTCCATGAACGCAACGTACTGTGGTGCCGTTTCGGGAAATCAAAACGCACCTCAGCACTAGCAACTATCACTTTCTGAGCCCCTCCTATGCATGAAGCTCAGAACTAGTTCATTATAATCGCCCTCTAGGTTACTTTGAAACTGTCGCCGTTAACTGTTACAATAATTCCGGTGATATCTAGGTAAGCACAAGATGCCTGATACTCGAGGCACCATTCTATATTGTAATTTATTTGGGGAACCAGGGCACACAGCTATGCAATTTCAAGACTCTAACTCAGAGATACGGGCTAGTGACTTGGGTTCTGGCTTGCGGATGGAACTAGACGTGATGTTGTCACAAAAAGGCCACGGATATGTTCAAACAGGGTTATTTATCCATAGGCTTCTAAAAGAGGAGGACGTTCTTCCAACCTGCTAATCTACTGTAGATCAAGCTAACCCATATTACCTATTAGGGAATTCTATCTAGCATCCTGCGTATCGTACTATGTATCTAAAGTACCATGCAGGGAGCTCTATGTTTTGTAAAATTAAGAAAAAAGTATCATACAAGACTTTTTTGCAAAAAAAGAGTTATCTGATACTTTTATTTATAAAAATTAACTTATTACAATTTTATTCTACTTCTATTTTATATTTCCTTTACATTATGTATTGTCAAAACATTTTATTAGTGCGTTACCATATTAAACAGATGGTATTTTGTTCGTAGTGTTCATATTTTGTGTCATTTTATGAAAATTTTGAAATATGCTTAGAATTTTGGAAAATCGTTAGAATTTTCCTTTATAAATCAATTTTGGTTTCGATATAAGTACCCGGTACCTTACAGAATATAAGTATATAGTAATATAATTAGTATTAGATACTAGAGGCCTATACCGCTTTACTTAGGATCTAAACTTATACTATTAGACGTATATTAAAGTGTTTCGTGGCCGATTATAACCTAGCCTATAAGATCCTTAGGGTCCTAGATAACTTTAGGGGCCTAGGTTAGTCTTCCTAGTCTAGTAAGGAGCTAGACTAGACATATAATACCTCTATTAGCTTATAAATCCTACCCTTATACGGTATTATAGCGTAACTAGATATCTATCCGGGTATTTAACTCCTAGATAGCGCGTACTATTACCTAAATCTAAACTAATTATAGATAATACTAGATATCTCGTATATACGTGTCTCTATTAAGGATATCTATAGGCGCTAATCCTAGATCTTCTATAGTGATAAACTACGGTATATCGTAGAATAAGGGCTTAGGATCGGGAAAGGTAGATAGCCCTTTAATAAAGATATTAGTAGGCTCGACTAACTATCTATAGCTTAGACCTAGAGATAGTGTTTACTATCTAGCGTAAGGAAGTAGAATAAAATCGCTAGAGTGCTATTCTAGTAATAGTGTATACCGAGCGACTTATTATATATCGCTATTATTTTTATTCTTAAGAGCATTAGATTTAGTTAGTGTTCGAGATATACTTATCTTACCTCCTTAAAGGACTCCGGAGATAATAATACTATAGCTTTAGGGTCGTAATCTATAGCTTTAGTGTTCTAGGGGGCCTTATTAACTCCTTAGATTTAAGCTAATAACACTCCTACGTTAAGGTTAGGGTACGGGGAGGATAAGGTAGTTACCTCTAGATTATAGCTTAATAGCAGATATATATTAGATACTCTTATAGTAATAGGATATAAACTAGGTAGATAGGGGAAAGTTTTAAAGTTAAGAAAGGGCCTTAGGAGGGGATAATTCTTAAGCTATATATAGCTATATATATATATCTATATAACTTTCTAGATTTTTTTTTTTTAATCTACTAAACTCTAGTATTAGCTTATTCCTAATTATCTATATAAACTATAGTTTTATAATATTAGGGAGGCCTTTAATATTTATAGTTTATAATTCCTTATTTAGTATAAGAGGACTAGGACTTTATATCTTAAAATATTAATATATATATATACGAATAAAATAAAACCTATATCCTATAAAAATACACTAAAGTTATATATAGCTTAATAGTATAAGAGAATATACTAGGGTCTCTCCCCTAGGAGACTATTAAAGTAACTCTTAGACCGGAAAAGAATATCTTCTAACGGGGACGAGGAGCTTTATATTAGCGTTTCTATCTAGGTATATAGGGTTCTAACTCCCTAAAGAGTTTTCGAGTTACGCCTATAAGATTTAGATTATCTATAATTTCTCCCTAGTAGTCCTATACTATAGACTACTATCTAATAGCTATAGTAGAGGTCTTTCCTTAAGTGTTAGTAATATTATACTATATCTTAACCTTCGTTATAAGATTTACCTAAATATTACGAATAAATAAATAACCTTATTTACCTATATTCCCGTAATTAAGTTATTTAGTAATAAACCTAAAATAGGTAAGGAAGTCCGCCTTATTAAACCTCCTATAGAAGAAATTCTATAGAGTTTCTTCTTCGGTAATTATCGAGAGAGGTAAGGACTCGTTTTATAATATCCGGATAATATAATTAACTCGGTTCTAGATACTAATATTAGTATTAGTATTTATAATTATTCTAAAATATTCGAGTTTATTACTTTATTATATACCTATAAATTTCGTAGAGTAATATACTTCTAATTTCTAGCGTTAGCTTCGGTACGCTATACTAGGAGTATCTATTTATAGGACGGCTTTTCGATAGTAAGGTAGTGTTCCTTAATAAGCTCCTTAACGCCCTCGAGATTTAAATAATATAGATACTACTACCGAAGAGTAGTCTTATATACCTCTCGTATAGGTAACTTATCCCTCTTATACTACTTAGTATTTATAGTAGGTATACGTCGAGTATACCTCCGCTTTTTACGTATTAGGGGAGGGCTTAGAGCGTCGTATTCTTTAAGGGTGTTATTAAGTTTAAGGCTAGATAGTTTAGCCCTAAGGTATATAGAGATAGGGTACTCGATCTCTATATTACTAATAGAGTCGTAGGTAGGCGTTATTATCTCTATATTCTTAAGGACCTTATTATAAACTAATATAGTACTAGTATAAAGATCGACCCTCGGTGTTTCTCGCTCGGTCTTATTTATTAACTCGGTAGATAGTAAAGTAATAGTTAGGGACGAGCGGGATTCTACTAAGAGGGGGGTTTAAAAGCTACTCGAGTAGAAGATAATAATTTTTACCGTACCTATTTATATTAGTTAAGTTCTAAATGCTCTAGGCCTAAATATTAATAGCTTATACTTCCACTCTAAGACCGTCGGGATCTATTATACTTAGGGACTAGTAGAGTGTCTATTATTAAAATAAAAGAAGGTAGGATATCTAGGGAATTAGGACGAATAATCTTATACCCTTAGAGATAAAAAAGGCTTAATAGTCTATATAGGGGGTGTAAGTTAATAAGGGAGAGATTAAATAAAAGTGAAAGATAAGGGAGAGCCCTTATACTTTAAATCGATAACTACCTATATAATTTCGTTATTAGAAGGACTAGACTATTAAATTACTTAGATATTCTTTAGAGTCTTTAGGCTTATTAATATTTTCCTTACTTAAAGAGAGAATATTTTTATTAATCTAGATTTTTTTCTTTCTCTTTTATAGGGAGTAGTAATAGAATTACTATACTTTAACCCTATTATAGACCTTATAGTATATTACTTAGGACTATATAATAGATCTTTTATCTATATTAGTATTTAAGATCTATCCCTTATATTAATTTATATCTTTATTAAGCATTTTATATTAATTACTATAGATATATCGATCTAACGGATAGTTAGACACTTTAAAAGTCACCTAAATAGAATATAAGTCTCTTCTCTCTCGCTATTATATATTACTA